GCTGAAGAAATCGGTATCATTTTATAGATCAAAACGCTGATAATAAGGGTGCCGGTAAGTTGCCGCAAGAACGTCTTCTTTCTGTTCCTCTCAATGCCGCTGGAGGCATGTGGCACGGTCCTAGAGTACCGATACAATCATATTTTTGCTTATTTATCTATTCTGAACCATTTTTCAGTTTCTATTTACTATCAATGTCAATAATTTTCAACAAATATAATGTATTATAAAAGTAATGTATCTCTCCTTTTTTTGTACATCATTTAAGAGCAAAAAACTTTGAATTGCTGCATTTTTTCCCTATTAAACAATTAAAGATGGTTGCCCTCCCCCATACAATGGAACAAAAATGCTTAAAAATTATTTGCAAGCGTTAAAAAACATTTTTTTGACATAGTGGCAAAGTCACCCCTTTTTCAGTTTAACTTTGCCACGACTCATTTTCTTACAAAATTTATATTTTTAGGCAAGATATAAATACGATAATAGCAAAACCAAAAGAGCTAATCTTCATCCGTGTTTTGAACATAGAGTCATCCCAACAAGTTAAGAAGTGTAAAGAATACAAGCGTCTAAAGTTGAAAACATGGCAAAGTCACCCCCGTTTACGGTATATAACAAAACACCTGAAACCTGTCCCTTAACACCCCGTTTTTACGGTAGTGTAAATTCGCCATTCGTTGCATATTTTAGGTTCCAAAGGATGTCTGGACCAGCTATTTTTCATGCTTTTTCCCATTTGAAGCTTAGATCACCATTATTCCACCACCGCGTTTGCCGCTCTAACCCGCTCTAACCCTCGCCGTGAGGGCCTTTTCCATAACACGGACGGCGAGGGGGGGGGGGGTTGGTGGTGGTACGACCCCCCTGGCGATTGGCTCCTATGGCACTTAGAAACACCAAATTTGCAGGGTATGTGGGCCCATAGGAGATCGCGCCCCCGTGAAAATTTGATGACTCTAAGCCATTATTTGGGGGGGGGGGGCATAAGTGCAAAAATTTTGCTTAATAATACATGTTTATTTCATACCATAAGTGGTACATATAGTCCATACACTAAAACAAACACACACAGACACACCACCAAACAACCAATGCACAAACCAGGTGCTCTTTCCTCAGAGAGATGCACCATGGTCATAAGACACGGTTGCGTCGTTCCATAACGAATCTTTCTATGTGTGCAACAAAAACATTGAATAGATCTGGCGACGAAGTGGCATATACGTTGAGATTCAGCAAGTCGTACTTATGGCGATGTTTTGTATGCATACGGGCAGACAAGCCGTTGCTCCCGATGGAACTGGCTAGCAAGGCCACAATCAGTGTGTTGGAGGTCTGTGAGAGTCGAAGCCAAAAGACTAACTGGCGATAGGTGATTTGCATTGGGCAGGTCAGCATGTGAAGATCGTGACACAGATCATGATTCTTACTCCACCGAGGGACTTTGACAAGCTTCTTGAGACAACTGTGGTATGCTATACACAACTCTCGAAACGTTCGCTGGTCACGATACACATTCCAGAGCTCACATCCATACAGGTTGGTGCAACTGCAGTACGATTTGAAGAGCTTCGTCAGTACACTTTTGTCGGCAAAGCCAATAGCTGCTGATAGCATGTTTACATTGGTATAAAGCGCTCTCTTAACACGGCGCATGTCATCGATGTCGCGCAGATCATCACGAATTACATGACCCAGGTACTTAAAAGACGTCACCCATCTTAACTGCTGGCCAGAAAGTAGCAACGAAGGAGGTCTGGAATTAACCAGATGAGTGGCCGAGTACGGTTTTCGAGGGAGAAATTGCATACACACAGATTTAAGGGGGTTAAATTCAACGTCGAGAAGATGAGCTTGCCTATTGCACTCATTTACAATTGTCTGCAACGCTTCCCTCGTGGGGGCCAGAAGCACAATGTCATCAGCGTATGCCAAAATGTTCGTTGCACATGCACCTACGCGACAACCAACACTCATTTCTCGCACTTTACACAGAATGGCGTCAACGTACACACTAAATAACAACGGAGAGAGGATGCCCCCCTGCCTAACGCCATTGCCAGCATGAAATTTTTCGGAGATAAGACCGTCCCATTTAACACCCAATGTCTGCATCCTGTACCAGTCAGTACAGCAACAGTTTGAGGTATTGTGAAGGCACGCCACGGTCGGTCAAAATACCAAACAGCTTTGAGTACGAAACACGGTCAAAAGCTTTTCTCGCATCCAGGAAACATGCATACACTCATGCATCAACATGCATCATGTCAAAGTTTTTTTTTCACGTATAACTTTTTACCCGGTAAAGATAGAGCGAAAATAAAAGCACCAGTGAACTCAGCACGTGCGTGCGCTTCAAATGGTGTACTTTGTTACCAATTTAAGTAAACTTAAAATTTTCTTAAAAATTAACCTGCGAGTTGCTGGGGGGGGGGGGGGCGTTAAACGCCCCACTTTTTTTCGCCGCGCTATAGTATAAAAACGGCGCGCCGCAGAAAATTTGGCTACCTGTAGGCAATTCATTGAAGTATATTGTGACAAAGTTTCCAAAAAATCGGTCGGAATTTTTTTTAGATATCGAGGTTTTAGTGACGTCATGATTTCTGAGTTGACGACCAAAAACAGCATATGTTAAAAAAATCATATAAAATCACAGAATAGACATACAGACATGCCGTAAACGCCATTAGACTTTCAATACCATGAACAATCAAATGGCCATCTTCAATTTTTGATGATCGTTCCACATTGTCCAAAATCTTGAACTCAATCTTGGCAATTTCTCGTGACTACTTCACGACCATGATACATGCATTTCTTAAGTTGAACTTTTTGAACCAAACACGTACACACATGATAAAATGAATGTGACCAGCGTGTTCTACACCCAAAATTACCCATAAAACATGTGTCACAGGCTGCTGCCAATATCAGTTTTGATTTTCGGGGATATGTGCCTACCCGGTTGACCTGACCTTGACCCTGACCTATGCTTGACTGACCCCTACATGGATCTGACACTCTTGTAGGCCTTATATGAAGGATTGTGCACCGTTTTGACAGAGTTTATGACGACGGGCGCCCATTGCGAAGTCCCGAAGTCCGGAAGTTCATGCTACTGAAAGCCCGATTTCAGGTGTTTGACCTGACCTTGACCCGACCTGTGACCTCAAAATTCAACTTTAAAGTACTCATCTGAAGCGTCTCGTCGCGTTCTTTCGTTTGCCGCCTCGTGCGCTTCGCTGCGCCTATTGGTTCTCGAGTTATCGGCTGGGGGCGTTTAACGCCCCCCCCCCCCCAGCAAACGGCGGGTGGCGAAATACCTCAGCAACTGCCGGGTTAAGTGAATGTCAAGTAACTAATTAAGTTTAAGTTAATCAAAATGCATCATATCGCATATCATTCGAATCGCCTGATCACAAGGAAGACAATGACGCCATTTGTGAAGCTGTAGCTTCATTGTGTGCCAAGTTATTAGCAAAAGCGTAGTTTGACCTTTGTTGATCTAAGTTGATCCGACCTTAGCGTTCTTGCATCTTGCAAACACCACCCAGATGTAAATCAAGGTAGTACAATACAAACACGTTAAAATACATAGAGCACACATCTCTAATCTTTACACATTCGGGAAAATTTCCTCAAAAATTGTCATGACCTCTAGATGACCTCAGGTAGGGGAGAGTGGGGTAATTTGGCCGCTTTTTTTAGAAAACGATGCAACTAAAAATCGACAACACATTTCTGCATTTTCTCAACGCTGACAGGTGTGGCATACATTTTGCTTTCGTGGACAGTAAACTTGAAATGATAGAGTAACTACTTATATTGAAATTGTGACGTATTACAAAGGTCTGCAAAGCGGCCAAATTGCCCCACTAGCAGGGTTATTTGGCCGGGGGTGTGGGGCAATTTGGCCGGTGTTAGTTTGAGGCCATGATTTTTGTTATAGGCGAGTCAGCTTCACATTCAGCAATGACGCGTGTCCTACGACGCATTTGAAGCATTTTGGAGGTTGACTCAGCCGTCACAGGGGTCGAAAATAGTCAAAATAGCGGCTCTAGATGCGATGACAGTTTTTTTACGAATAGCTTTTGAAGTAATCAAGCTAGGCCAAAACTAAAAGTACCATCGTAATTCTCTCGTCATTCCGCATCGAAACATGTATGTGTTGACCTCTAGAGGTCAAGGTCAAAGGTTTGCTTCAGGTCACGTTACCTCAGGTCGCTTGACCTCAAGGTTGCGTGAGTTCAAGGTCATCATGTATATCATTCGATGCGCCTTGACGAGCTGAACACAATGAGACCATTTGCGCGGCTGTATCTTTTTTCTGTAAGTATTTATTAGCAAAAAAGCGTTAGGTAAACTTTGATGACGTCACATGCCCTTACAGCTGTCCAATAGGAAATATGGCATCAAGGTAGTCAAAGTTGGTCATGAATTATGTCCTTTATGGTATAATTGACCATGACAACTCGGCCGTCCCAGCATAGTGACTCTGAGCGCACCGGCCAAGTTGCCCCGCTAGTCCCGGCCAAATAACCCCACATTGCCATTCTGATTTTTTTTTGTCTATAAAGTCGTCATGGCTGTACAGAACTAGATGAAATTGCTCTTGGAATCGCTGAACACGCTCAAGAATGGCGCTATAATGTTGGAATTCGTTTACAGCCCAAATACTACATGTTATACAAATTTTTAAGCGGAAGTGAAAGTTACCATTTTCTAACGAAATTCACGTTTTATTAATTTTGAATAAAACTAAGAGGGGGAAAGTTTTGACATTTGTTCTTGAGTTAGTTCTGCCGATGACAAATGAATAGAGACTAAAGTTATTTCATTCACTTTTATCAGCTTTCGTACAGGTGGGGGCGGCCAATTTACACCACCGGCCAAATTACCCCACTCTCCCCTATACATGTGACTGAAACGTTTCGCGCGTCTCGGCGGATTGTGCATAGGTCGGTGCCTCTGACCGGCGGTGACGGCGCCCCCGGCAGGCCATCCCGCCGCAGCAGCACCCCGTCATCGTGCTGCCCACCGTCGACTATGACGTCATGCAGGCGATCCTCGAGTTCATCTATCAGGGCCAGGTGAACGTGCGCCAGTCGCAGCTGGGCGCCTTCCTGCAGGTGGCCGAGACGTTCTCCATCCAGGGACTGGCAGACGACGAGACCAAAAGGAACGCCGCAAAGGTCAGCGAAAATCAGCGCGGCTGTCGCAGACGCGGGCTGTCTGAGCAGCAGCGGCGTGAGCCGTCTGTCAGCTCAGCAGCAACGAATAGCACACTCACAGCTCAGCATATTTCGGGGAGTCTCAATTTAGCTCTAAATTGGTATACATGGCCTCTTTGATGCGCTGATTCCGAAAATGTACCTCTTTGGGGTGGTATTTTGCACCGTTAACGACTTAACGGCCAAACAACATTTTAACGGGAAATGGTGGGGTCTTTCGTTTGGCTGAAATTGGTATACAGGGCATACAGGGTGTCTCAAAAGTTCGTTGACAGGTACCAGCCATGCTTTTTTGTCAATAATTCAGAATCAACAATAAATTAACAGTCGAAATTTTGCATGGGCATTGGTAACAACCTTCCTCAAGCAGTCTCATTGTTTTCAAACGCATTCGACCCTTCATGAGCCCACAAAAAGGGTTCATCTCTGACCATGGGTCAAGCATGAAAATGGAGGTCGCAAAATCGGGTCGGCTGAGAAACTCTCTGTTTCAGGAGTAATGGGAATGGTTAAGTCGGAAATGACACATGGCAAAGTGTCGGCGAGGATGAGTACAACATGATGATCATCTAATAAAAACGGTGGCTAACATTTTTGAAGGACAAAACCATGCGAGACTAACAGCGTTTTGAACGACCCTCGTACGGCAGCAGACTCGTGCTCCGGAAAGCAGCTGAAAATGAAAGCATAACTATTGAAAACTGACAAGAAGCTCACAGACAGAGGTTACCCAGTTTCAAAAATTGCAGGTCATCGTAAAATAAAGACAAAGTATCATTTGAAATTGTTAATAATATCTATAACGCTAAAATTTTGGGGAAAATAACACGAAAATCATCAATACCAAGGACAACTGACCCTCCAAAAGTGTCAATTAATGTAAAGTTTTATCTTACGAAGTTTCAAGAGGCAGATCTGGAGCGAATAGCTTTCTTTTAGACACAAAATCCCGACAAAACCACACGATGGACAGGTTTTGGCCGTTTACAAAGCAGAACCTCTCCTGAGGAAAACACTCCGCAACCCAGCGAAGGTCTTGGCATGGGGAATGACGAGCGTTTGGGATTTGCAAAATTTGCACAATGTGTCTAAGAAACAGATGGCCGACACATTCTTCTACGATATGCTGCGAAAAATGTTCCCCTGGCACTTCCCATTTGTTCAGGAATGGGGTTGTTTTGAAAAGGAAAATGGTGTTTGGGAGGTCGGCGCCAGTCATTCATGAAGGAGTTAGCGCCAGAGAAGACCTACAAAATACTCACGGATGGTGTCGATGCAAGCTGTCGGCTTTCAGGGAGAAGCGGATGTTGCCGGGGAGCTCGTCAAACCTAAATCCGACGCAGAAACTGCAGGGGATTCCCTTACAAGAGCTTGAAAGCTGGTAACCTTTTATCAGCCTCCGGCAGCTGACGGAGCGACGAAAATTGGTATGGGCAAATATTTTTGGAGATACAGCAAAGGGTTTGATTTCCAACCTCCCGAATCAGTTGTCAAAGCATGCATATTTGTCTAGTGTGCACACAGTCACCAAAACCTTAGATTTTTGGCCGGTTCTTATATGCTTTATGGGCATGGGAAATGTGTCAACGAACTTTTGAGACACCCTGTATTCGATGCGCTAATGCTGAAAATATGCCTCTTTAGGGTGGTATTTTGCACCGTTAACGAGTTAACCCGCGCATGACTGGGGTATTTTCCATAACGCGAGTGAGTGAGGGGGGGGGCTCTCCAGAGCCCCCTCCTATCTCCGAGACTACGAGGCCGATCGTCAAAATTCAAACGGCGTCTGATAGCCCTGGAAAAACTGCGGAGTGAAACCCATTTTCATTGACCTCGAGGTCACCGATGACGTCACAGTTCAGGCCAAAGTAAAAATTATCAGCATTTTTGCTTGTTCACAATTTAGGCTCTGACCGCCGGCTGACAAGTCCGATCAGGCTCAGTTTTGGTTTACGCACTCCTTGATATATGCCTTAGATACACTGAGGGTACAGAACATTTACTTCCAAATTTTCAGGTCAAGGCCAGGTCATCCTAGGTCACGAAAATTGTATATCATGTATCGGTCACGTGACGCATGTTTTATGGCCCATTTTACTCGTAGATTTCGAAAACAATGTCGTCTGTGTCATTTGAAGTCATTTTCAGCTGATTTTGCTGGAGGTCAGGTTACTTTCAGGTCAGAAAGGGTCAAATTTTGAAAATGAAATTTTTCAACAAAAAGGTGCCTATCAGATGCAGTTTGAGCTCAGGAACACGATGGTGCCAGTTATATTGCTGTATGATGTTAAAAACGTCATGAAAAATGGTTTTGAAAAAATATATAATTGTAAAATTTTGACAATAATGCAAATAACTTGGCTATTTTTGAAGATATTGGGCTGAAACTTGCTAGAGTAGTTTATCTGTGTGTGTTCTATCACATACAGGGTGTCCAGAAAAAACGGATACTATTATTTTTTGCTGTAATTTCGAAAATGAATACCTTACATTTTAAAATGTCACATGCTTGTATTCGCAAAAATATGGCAAAACAGACAGCAGGTGCCACATGGCATGTTAACTCTTTGGTTAGTCACGGCAGCTCCTCAAAGCAGATACTCAATGAGAGCGGCCTTACGGCGGATCAGCTCCAGCACTAGCACGGTCTGCAGGTGACTGTTGGTCATGTTGGCCATCTCGGCGGGCAGGCAGACAACTTTCCAACGACGAATTACAGTGCTCATGAGTTTTGCCAAATCTTGCTCTATAAGCACATGAAGTTGGAACGAAATCGGCACGTGCGTTAATGAATGCGACTTAATTTCCGTAGTATCTTTTTTTTCTGGACACCCTGTATATTCCGGTTTTTGCTACATAACAAACTTTTTGAAATATCAAGTTTTTTTTCTGTAATATTTTTGAAAATTCTCAAAATTTCGAAAAGTTTCGAAAAAAAGTTTGCCGTAATTCAATATTTTGCATCAAAATCGGCCGACTTGATGTCACTCTGACGTCATTTTCGGCAAAAGTATGGTAGCTAGATAGTTGAAATTGTAACACAAGGTGCCAAATTGATGCCGCTGAAGGTACCGCAAGTTTCGTGTTGATCTGTCAAACGGTTTAGAAGATATTGCCGAAAAACGGGAGGGGTAGGCGGCTCTATAGAACCCCCCTCCCCCCCACTCATGCGCGGGTTAACGGCCAAATAACAGTTTAACGGAAAAAAGCGGCGTCTTTCGATTTGGCTAAAATTGGTACACAGGGTCTTTGATGCGCTGATTCCGAAAATGTACCTCTTTTGGGTAGTATTTTGCACCGTTAACGAGTTAACGTGAAATAACATTTTTTTTACGGGAAACGGGGCCCATTGATTTAGCTGAAAATTGGTGTACACGACCTCCTCGATGTGCTGATTCCGAAAATGTATCTATGGCAGACTGGTTTTTTATTCACCTTTTTTTGGATCGATTCAATCATTGATTCATTTGAAATTTTTTCCAATTCAATCACCGTTCGATTCCTTCCAAAAATTTGGTGAATCGATTCCTTTCGATTCAAAGAATCAAAAAACCAAAAAGGATCGATTCACGTTTGATTCAGCCAAAAAGTTATCGAACGATTCTTTTTTTGATTCGATTAAAAAAAAATTGACCCAAAATTTTGGCCATTATTTTTACACAATGCATTTTTACATATGAAGAGCTTTGAAAAAAGTATAAATTAGTGTAGTTCTAGTCTATGTGATGCAAAAAATGTAAAAGAAATTTTTACAAATGAATAATGACAATTTAAAAAAAAAAATGCCACCCACATTTCCATTGTTTCAACAGCTTTGGCAGACTCTTCAATCCTTCTGCCACACCCTCAGCTACAGCTACGCTACAGAGTATTGTTCCTAAAATTATACAAATGCTTTTCAAATAAACAGAAGAACTTTGTACAAGCTTAGAAAAGGCACCTGACCTCAGACCTGAGGCTGAGGCAGTAGTGAAAATGCTTAGAAATTAGATAATATATTGTGTCTTATCTTACATCTTGTTTTCATAGTACAACAATCTCGTACCTACCTAGCAAGCTAGTGATCGCCAAATCTTCAAGTGAGGTGACGATCAAGGTACTGAAATCCGTTATTTGTTATTGTTATTGTTAGGGGTCCTCTATTTGCAAAAGAAATCTGTCTAACTTTTTTGAGAAGCCCGGTATTTTTGTCCCCCTCCCTCGTATTTCCGAAACTACTATACGGATCCCTAAAATTCAAACGGTGTTCGATAGCCCTGTCAAATTTGTCGAGTCCAATTTCATTGACCTCGGGGTCACAGGTCCGGTCAAAGATAAAATGTTTCGCCGTTCACGGGTCTTCTAGGAATGCGCTATAACATCGAGTAAAACGCATTTTGTCGAAAATCAGCGATAGGACGTAAGTTGTAAGTTGCGTAGTAGGTACATGTTTTGCTATTGGAGGTCACTGATAATACCAGGTCAGGTCACAGGTCAGGTCACCAAGAGTCAGCACGTGAACCCAACTTTACTAGGGTTGTACGATGTATGTTTTATGGCCAATTTTTAATTTCCAGATCAATGGTGCTGGTTATAAGACCATCAGGTACGGTTTAGGTCACTTTGTGGTGGAGGTCAGGTCAATGTCAGGTCCAAAAAGGTCAGATTTCAATGTTGATAGTTTTGCATAAAATGGGTATTGATTCGATGCAGCTCGTCACGGCGAGTCTAATGGTGGTCTTTGTTTTGCGCTATGTGGTCTAGAATTGCTAAAAATTGAGTTTTTAAATTTGACATCAATTTTGAACAGTTTTATTCCGCTATAACTTGGCCAAAAAAGATGTATCGATCTCAAATTTAGCATGTGGATAGAAGGCGGTAGGGACAATCACATAGATTCCGGTTTTCTCGAAATAAAAAAATACTGTTGGATTTTTTGCCTATTATATTAAAAAAAAAATTGCTTTTTGTTTTTTTGGGGTCAAAATCCAAACATTTCAAAAATTCGAGACAGTAGCTTTGCAGCCCTGTTAATTCTACACTTTTTATGTCAAAAATATTTTTTTCTTTCTCTAAAGCTGTAGGCCTGACAGCTTTTCCCGCGAAACCTTTTTTTTGTCGAAACGTCACTCCGACGTCATTAGTGGCCAACCTATCATAGCCTTTGGAAACATTTTTGGTCATTATGTGTAAAAGCTATTCCCGGGAGGGTACTGAAAGTTTCGTGACGATCGGCGCAGCGGTTCTGGAGATATATCGAAAAAAAACTAAGGGGGGGGGGAATGCCCCCCGCCCACCGCCTGGAAGGTTAACGGATAAAATTTAAACAGAATCTGTGATGTTTTACAATTGCACCATACCATTGGGGATTTGACTGGCTATGTAGGATGGGATGTGCGGGCTAATCAGGGCTGCGAGGCTGGCTAGTGGTCAGGTGATATTCCTGTATTGTGGGCGCATGTCCATTGAGAACAGGACACACGAGACTGGGGCTGCTGAGCTGTCCTGTGACTGTGCCGCTCTGTGTGAGATGGTGACCTGGCCTGGGACGTGTCGTCAGACGCCGGCCCGCTCGAGGCCGGCCGACTCGGAGCCGCCGGCCCCCAAGCGGCGGCGCGCCGAGCCGGTGCCGGCCCGCTCCCAGTCGCCGCCGGCCGCCGACGCCGCGGCCGTGGCGGTCTCGCCGTCGGCCGAACGGCGCCCCGAGCCGGCCGCCCAGCCGGCCGACAAGACGGTCAACATCAGCGTCAGCATCAAGGCCGAGGGCATGTCGGACACGATGGTGGGCGAGCTGCTGGAACACTCGCAGTCGGCGCCGATGCTCGACCCGGACATGGAGCCGGGCGGCTCGGACGTGGTCGGTGAGTGCCAGCACAGAGATCTTATATAGAGAGATGCCCTCATAGACCCGGGAACACAGGGGGTGGGGATAGTGGGGGCGTTTGGTTCCCCCCAACTTGAGAGCCGAGGGGTGCCGCTCCCACAACATTAAGCGACCGACGGGGGTCTGCGCCAACTTAGAACCGACGGGGGGGGGGGGGGCGGATGACCGCCCCCCCCTGAGATCTCGAGAACGAAGCAAGATAGCGACAAGCGGTAAACGGCATGGGATGTGCACGGATAAGGTCTACAATTTTTACTAAGGTCATTTTCAGGTCAGGTCGAAGATGACGTCACAGGGGTCAAAAAAGTAAAGTGGCGGCGCTAGATATGGAGAGTTTTTCTCGAATAATTTTCGAACTAGTCAAGATAGGAACAAACTAAGGGCATCATCGTGATCCTCTCGTCAATCCGCATCGAATGATTATATATATATATATACTTTCACTAGGGAGTTTGCAAACTCACTGACCGGTCAGGGAGTTTGAGAAATTCCAGAGCGGTTGGGACAAATAAAAACAAGTGTGCAGCATGTGGGTGGCATACGTGCCGTCCGTGATGTTAAAACAAAGGCGGCTAGTTGTACGGCCTATTAAACAGTCGCACGCTGACAAAAAGCTTACAGATCATATGTACATTGTACACCATACTTTTGATCTTAAACTGTTCAGTGATCTAGCCCAAACATGTAACGCCGCTTTATTTAGTTATACATTTATTTAGTTCACGGGCCAATTGTGCACACAAGTGTGGCTATTCCAGAGTCAGGCTCAGCTCAACAAAGTAGAAACAGCTCAGTTGGTCATTTATGCTAAAGCATATAAGGCATACGCGTGCAACACTTGTGTGGAACCGGAACGGATCTATAATTGGGACGTGAACTAAATAAGTGTATGACTAAATGAAGCGGCGGTACATGTTTGGGCTAGATCACTGAACAGTTTAAAATCTTAAAGGTAGTGTGCCAGCTTTCCTGGACCGTATGGAGTTAATGGCCCAGATAAGGAGAACCGGATTTTTAGAACTTATCCATACCTTCAAAACTCATGGAAACGTCTTAAATTCTTCAAATTTTGAGTACCTCAGTGCGAAATTCGCCCCGACGGGTTGTCGGTCGTACCCCAACCACATTTCACACCACTATGAACAATAAATGCACACACTGAAATCGCTATTACCGATAGGCTCATCCAATCAAGTTTCGATAAACCCGTTCATCATCATCTCCTGCGGTTTCGAACACGCCTGTTAGGTGGTGCGGTAGACCGCGCCCAAAGCCAGGGCCCCGGTAACGTGAGGTAGCCGAGTCGGGGCAGCGTGCGCTGACCCAAGCCGGGGCCGCGCGTCCTCCCGGTGTCATGTGATAGCCCGGGGCTGCCCGGGGATGCGGTAGACCGCGCCCAAAGCCGCGGCCCCGGCTTGGGTCAGCGCACGCTGCCCCGACTCGGCTACCTCACGTTACCGGGGCCCTGGCTTTGGGCGCGGTCTACCGCAGGTGGCTTCTGCTCATACTTGTGGTGCGGTGGTGGTGCGTCGGGCCGCGCGCTCTGACTTCGGCCAAGAAAAATGCGTCAGCTGATCATTGTCATTTCTGCCACTTTCATGTGGTGAGGTGGGGTCATAACTTTAGAGACGGCTGTTTCATATCAATTATTTTACATAAAATCATCATTCAAACCATAAATTAATGTTCGACAGCCAAATTAAAGAAACAATACCAATACAGGCTTACAGTTTAAATTCGACATTGTGTTGTCTACGATTAGACAGCTGATAACTCATTCCCGTACGTCGTAACTCTATAATGACCTTTGCTTATTGTCACATGTGCGCCGCATTCGCGATTGTTGCCGACGCCTGTTTGCAGGTCAGCCCACTATAGTTGTTATCAGACATGTACTTGGATCCGGAAAAATGGATCTGAGATCCGATCCCATGGATCCCGATCCGAGATCCATTCAGATCATAGATCCAACCCCTCAATTTTGTCGAGAGATCTACTGGGATCATAGATCTGACCCTTCAATTTTGTCGCTAGATCCACTCGGATCATAGATCTGGCTCCCCAATTTTGTCGTGAGATCCATTGGGATCATAGCTCATAGGTGCTCAAAATGTTAACTTTCTTTCATAAGAAGTTATGAATACCAAGGTATGGTTAGAAACAAACAATCTTATACAAAGGCCATATTAGTAAAGGCATCCAGTTACATTATACAGAATACAAAATAAAGGAGGCTCATGACGGTCACAACTTGAGAGAATTGAGTGACATGAAGATTGTTCACATACCAACAGAAAAGTTTGCATTAACAATTAACATTTACCTCTAAGTAATGACTAATGAACAATACATTACTAGGTACCTACCACATCACAATTCATGTTAGAATCTACATAATGATATTGATAAGACAATCTTGCATTAGACAACCATGAGGCTTTCCAGTTTCCAGCTAACACAATTGATTGATAAACAATAAAAGATTATACTGACATGTGGCTTGGTTAGGTAAAGGTAGTTCAATCTATTGAAAGAAATATTTGATAAAATAAACTGAGATATAAACAAAAGTATAAAAATATTCAACAGCCTGCGGAAGCGATGGGAAGCAAAATATCAATTGTAATGGCCTTGGATATTTACCGTAAAATGATTATTCAGTATCTAAATAGAACTCGTGACGTCATTTCAAATAACAAATGAGCTAAGCGTTCTACCTTCGAGTATAATGAAAATAAATGAAAAATCAAACTGGAAATTCAAAAGTCTGGAGTTTTGCAAAAGAATGTTCATTTTTTTCTGCTTCACATAATTTTACGATACGATTGTTTGTGAATATCATCTTTGTAGCGTTGAATTTATTGACGTAAACGTAAGCTGAAACGGTATTACATGGCCCTGAGCCGGGTGTGCGCCTTGCATCTTTATTTTATTCACTTTTCAAAAGAATCACAATATCTTACGTCATTAGTTTGAAGGGCCTATTACGGGGAATCTTTTGGAATCATTACGGTTTTAGTCAAATTAAGATTTTTCATTCGTCAAACGATAATGACGTAATAAAACAATATTACCAAAACGTGAGCTGTGAATTTCGTTTGTCTTTTTTTGGGAGGCTCTCTCATAACGAAAGGACAGCATGGCACCACACGTGGCACGATGCCAAAAGTAGGTAATCTGAAGAAGTTGATGCCATTTTTGAACTTGTAATCTTATTAGGAAAGTATTAGAGGTTGGTTGCTATTCTTACTAAATCGAAATTGTGTTGCACATACTAATAGCTCATACGAACATTCTGGATTGGGATTTCATACCTGGCAGAAGTGGATTGCTGGATTATTTTTAACAAAACTGACCCATTTGGCTTCCAGGTTTGATTTCCTAGCATCTGTCCATAGGCGGCGGAACAGGGGGGATGGCACCAGGGTACAGTGCCCCCCATAGATTTTGGCATTTTAACATTGGCCCTACTGGCGTTGCATGTAAAGAATGGGACCAAAATGAAAATCTGCAGTGCCCCGCTGCCACTGCATCTGTCTGTACTGTTTGTTCATTGAATTAAAGTGGCTGTAGCTTGTTGATAAGATTGTCATCAGTGCTGTCATGAAAAAGTTACAATTGGTCACAAAAAGTAGCAATGTGCATGTTCTTGGTTTATTTTAAATGTAGTACAAATGTTGTTGATTTAAATTCAAATTTAATGATGATACCTAATGGCTAATGATTACAACTGGTCTTAACCATGTCCACAAGTGACAATTTTCAATTGTATTGCACTGTAAGGTGTACAATTATGTAGGATAAGGGTTTCATTGGCTACATGTTGTCGTGAGATCCATACAGATCATAGGTCCTCCACAAATTTTTGCCCGCTGGATCCACAGAGATCATAGATCCGACCCCTAAATTTTGTCGAGAGATCCATTCAGATCATAGATCCAACCCCTGAATTTTGTCGAGAGATCCACTCGGATCATGGATCCAACCCCTCTATTTTGTCGAGAGATCCACTGAGATCATAGATCCAGCTCTCGGATCCATGCACATGTCTGGTTGTTATACATATCGAAGAACCGATAAACTTTTAGGCGAAAAAAGCACTATTTCGGGCCCATTTTTGATTTTTTTTTGCGATATTAGGTAAAAACAGAAGCTTCTTATCCTAGGAAAAATAAAATGGGAAATCATTGGAAGGTGGCACACTACCTTTAAGCAGGCATTTATGGACTATGGTGTGCATATGATCTGCAGGCTTTTTGTCAGCGTGTGACTGTTAAATAGGCCGTACAACTATAGCCGCCTTTGTTTTAACATCACGGACGGCACGTATGACACCCACATGCTGCACACTTGTTTTTATTCGTCCCAATCGCTCTGGAATTTCTCAAACTCCCTGACCGGTCAGTGAGTTTGCAAACTCCCTAGTGAATTTGCAAACTCACTGGTGGGTCAGGGAGTTTGCAAACTCCCTAGGGAGTTTGCAAACTCACGGATTTCTCAAACTCCCTGTAACATATATATATATATATATATATATATATATATATATATATATATATATATATATATATATATATATATATATATATATATTCAGGGTTACTTTTAAAGGGGGGGAAAGAGGGAATTTCCCCCTTTCGAAAATTCCGCTCCCCCTTTCAAATTGTGTCATAATGTCTAGGGAGGGAAGGGGGAATTTCCCCCTTTCAAAATTATTTTTGAGCCCATTTTAAATTAATTCGCTATTCAGATTCTCTAGTCATCGTTATTCAGATTCTAGTCATCTTAACGTTGCTGGCGCTAAGATATTATCAATAATTGTGGGCAGTGGCAACCCCCGGGCGGAACTTAAAATATCCGGAACTCCAGATTTGACCCGATACCTACCGATCGGATGGTCGGTGGGACCGTCTCTTGTCTTGTCTTTTCGCACTCACTCAGGGGCGGATCCAGCAAAACCCCAAGGGGAGGGTCATG